AATGAGTATAACATGGTGTGATCGTTCATAAATATTAGTCTAAATATATTTTCTCTGTATATTTATCAATCAAAATGTGAATGAAATGTTTGTACGGTATCGAGTAAAGTAGGCTTCGATACTATACCGTAGAATTTTTAACTATTTATACAGGCAATTCTGAAGTACAAAACTTTGTTTTAAGGCGATACCTTTTTTAACAGTATTTTTGCAATAAAATATGGAAATAGCTAGCAGGTAAAAAAACAGTCGCATTCCATAATAGTTTTCTAGCATACATATACATATGAACAGTCTGTGGCAATATACCTTATAAAACAAGTACAATTTAAATAGAAATATTTATTGTATTTTATACGTTTTGTTTCTCATGTTTATTGTAACGTTGTGAATTAAAAATATTGTAACAAAAATGTATGTTTCCTTGCCATATATTTGACCATTTGAAATAAATGATTCGAAAGAAATAAAAAAATCATTTTTATGTTCTTCCAAAAATCTACGATGTTTCTAATGTATATCAAATCTATTTGAATACTTGTGAAGTGTGAAATTAACCATATAATACACGTAAGTACAAAATTTCTATAAAATATCATAACTAATTTTTATACAATATACCAGAGAATCTTAGATAAATGATAATAATAACTAAAATTTTAATAATGAAATACTAAAGAAACTCTTGATCATCAAAATTTCCTGAGGATTGACCAAATATACTTCGGATTTAATTTAATTACTAATAAATTTTTTAACACATTTAACAAATTTGTTACAACAATTATTGAAATTGTAACTAAATATAAATACATTAAAGATGATATGAAATTTATAAACCAACTGATGGGACACATGGTTGACAAAAATTGGAAAAGGTGGACAGGCAAGTTGCCACGTCACGTTCGTTGATGAAGGATATTAATATATGCTTTGGTATGAAGAAAATTTTATCGAGCTCGAGGAACTGTAGTTATGAGGGCAAATACCAACACGATCTTCTGAATATCACCGACCCTTCTTTCGACCCTTCTTTCGACCCTTCTGTGAATCCTTCGAACAGAATCATTTTTCGAGTTTCAGATATAGCAAACTCGAGCTTTTGTCGAACGATTTTTGAATTAATGGCAAACGACTAATCGCGTGTCTGGAAAGAACGAAAACCGCTTTGGCACAGTTTTGCACGGAAGTATGGTATACGTAAATTAAAGGGGGCACAGAGTGGCAAACAGTGTTTGACCGGTTACGAATAGCCGGTCATCGCACGAACACGTTTGCGAAAACCCCGAAGGATGTGCAATATTTCGGTGACACCAAGGAACCACTATCGCCACTATCGTGAACGATTATCCTGGAACAAAGCCAGTTCCTTAAACACTGGGCAAAAATTCAAAAGCAACGACAGTTACCGATGTCACTGGCCTGTTCCCGTTTTCAGCAGCAGAATCTAGTCCGCTTAAATTATCCGTTGTGAAACTGAAATTAATTGGCCGTTACAGAGACAAAAACTGTTAACGAATGTGGACCATGATCACGAAAATATCTATTTTTGAAGAATATTCTTTCCACTGAACAGAAGACAACTATTATTCTTTACAAATGATATCGTTAACTTTAAATGATTCTAAATGTTATATAATTCATTGCAATTCCAGTGTCAAATATTAAAGTTTCCAGTATTGTTTTGTGAATTAGATAGTTTCGGTGCAACACAAATTACAAACATTCGCAAACAGCAGAACGAGAATTGCAACCACGGTTGTATGCACAAGTAATTGAAAATATTCCGATTATAACGTATCGACCAGTCCTAGGTATGATAATTTCTGATTGGAAATACCTCCTGCCAATTCGGTGATCATTATAATCGTGCCATCCGGCTAGAAGACGAGAGATTCGTCTGTTGATTCAACATTATCTCCCCAACGAGTTTTCCTGTCACGTATGACCTTTCGATTAAGCTAATTATTTTGAAGGAAAAGGATGTTGTCGACGTGAATTGTCGGTGGTGTCGTTCACGTGAATAGAAATGAAATCCATTCGAATTAAGTACAGAGAAAAATTTTATATAGAATGGAAGAAGAAAGAAATATTGGTCAGCGTGATAGAATTTTGAAACATTTAAAATATAATTTAATCGAAGGCTTGTAAAGAGGCCCCGTTCAAAGTGGGGCCCGGGGATGTAACCCTCCTTAGATCTCCCCATAAAAATTCTGTGAAATAGTACTTATTTTTATTAAGAAATTTCCAACGTTTCCCTCTGGACACGGTTTACACCAGGAAGTCTTAAGCGGCATTAAGAGTGACAAATGGAGCTATGAAAGGTTTAAGACTCTAAGTCAACGTACTTAACACGAATTCATTATATTCATAAATTACTGTGAATTGTGCTATGTAATTTACTTAATTTTGTTTTAATATTTATTATTTTGAGTATCGTTTATTTTAGAAGAAGAAATAAGTTGTTTAAAAAAAAAGAATTATTTCTCCATCATGATAAATGAACTAAGAATTTTATCTTCAAAATGTGTATCTGATATCGCAATTATCGTTTCATCAAATAAATTATCATTAACTCATCAAATAGAATGAATCAAATAGAATTAACATTATTAAATGATATCAAACGGTAATATGCACAAATATTTGAAACAGCCAATTAATATTCAATTAATGGGAGTCGTAATATGGTCTAGATGAAAGTGAAATTTCAATGATTCACACCTCGTTCATACGACAGTAAAGTAGGGAGCATCGATTCGTTATAATGTATAAGAGCGATATTAATTAGTGAACTTTTAACAACCCCTCAAATTGATTCATTGGAAATTAATTGCTTCCATTAATCATGCCACCCCTACATCTGGTTTTCGTTTGATATTCACGCCAATAATATGATAATAATGAGTCACAAACTCGAATGAAACCACACGCATCTATTTTCTTGGAAAAGAATATTCTAACACTTTGACGTGAGAAATAACAGCTTACTGCTTTAAGTTGTGAAATTTGAGTGGTACCATGAAATGTTCAATTCATGTGCAAAATTTTTAATTATTGACGAATAATTATCCAGAAAGAAAATATGTTACTTTATAAAAATATTATAAAATATTTTCTAATATTTTTCTAATACTTTGTAAATTCCAGAGCCCGTGTAAAAGCGTTTTGTTTTGAATACTTCATTATGTAGAATTGTAAAAACAGAATCAGAAATAAAAATAATATTTTTGATTGATTTAGTGAGACAAAGATAAACCGTAACAAAGATAAACCGAATCGTAAACAGATTCACGAGACAGTGATACGTGTATCACCGCTTCCATTGTTTCTATTAGATAATAGATCAATAAATACAATACGTACGTTTTACTACTTGGTACAGACTGCTCGAAATCACTGCAAGCATCAAGTCATCCAAGATGGCCATTACTTTCACGTGGTTACCATTTTATCCGATATGTTTCTGAAATCTGAACACGTTGCATCCTCGTTTCGTGTCTTCTGTTTGCTTTACACGTACTAGTTGTTTTTTAATTTTAATTGTATCAAAGCATCCTTTGACGTGATTTATTGCACCTGCTGCCCTGTAACAGAAAAAGAACAAGGTTACATATAATGTTGTTATTCAGAACAGGGTTTGTGCGGAATCATAATTGACAAGAAAATGAAGCAAGATAAATAAAATTATGATTGAAACCTACAGTAACATTATTTCTATTAAAATATGATTAATCTTTACTCTTTTCAAATACATTTTAAAAATTCCGCAAATATATATCGCGAGAAGGAGAATGCTTCGTTATTAAAAAAGTTTGAAACAGACTATGGTAGAATATTCTGTTTTCTCAATAATAAGAATTATGAGTAATTTATTTAAAAATTAAAATTATTTATTTTTAATATTAACATTTATATATAAAAAATACTACAGTGTTATTTCTCTTTTTATTTATTGTTTCAATATTTGCTGTAAGATATTCAATGTTCATTAAATAAATAAAAAGTTCAGGAATAACGTGGTACTTGATTTCCATCATAGAAGTAAATAAATTTAATTGCCTTTATGCATGCATACTCAAATCAATAATCAATTTCATAAAACAAATCCACTTTGATGAAAAAGAAAGGAAAAAGCGTTTCATATTAAACATGAAATTTTATCCATAAAAGCGACACGTGAATTTGTATCCAAGCTTGCCAAAAACGCGCAAGCGAAAGAATAATATTTTTCTTTTAAACAATCGAAACATTTATACCCATTGTTTTTTTGTAATAATTGTATCTAAACAAAGAGTACACACTTTGTAATCATGGCAATTTCATCAGTTACAACCCTTCGTTATTTTTCTTTTAGAGTAATTAAAAATCATTTTTAAAATACTAATTTATTGTAGACGTTAGGTAAGAACCTGAATTACATGTTATTTTTGAAAAATATCATTACACAACGCTATAAATAATGAAATGTCGAAGAAACATCAGCGCCCCCTTTGAAATATTTATAAGTATACAGAAATATTTTTCAAATTTTAAACTCAATTCATCTTTCAAACCCACACGTGTGGATAAAAATGAACGTCCATCATTCAAAGACAAAAATTTCCCCAAAACCTTCGACCTTAACGTTACATTCCTCCCTTCAAATCAAGCAATCCTCTCTTCTTTCAATTCAAGAAACCCGGACATGCTGTATGAAACGAAGCATAACAAGATCAGCAACAAAGCTTTGATCTATCTCAGCTTAGAAAACGCCTTCCGTCCCCGCGTTAGATTCAAAGACGATCCCGTCTTGTATCTATGGATACAAAAATAAAGAGCCGGTGTAATCGAGAAGAGGTAAAAGAAACAGTTTCGGACAGGGGAATGTAATGCTTTTTACAGGGAGGTCGTGTGTGGCCCATGTAACGAAACTCCGTGCCGTGTCTTCTCGGATAGGCCAGCACGGTTCGGCGCGGCGTCTCGAGTACGCGCGTTCAGCGCTCGAGCGTCGCGACGCGGATACCGCGAGACGGTGGCCAGTCTCGTGGAGGCGCGCGTCCCGTACCGATCGCGCAACCCTCGAATCCTCGTGGAAATTATTCCGATCGAAAGGTGATATTTTTTGTAAACGGAACCAGTGCAAATCGTCTCTCATGTCGGTGAGTCTTTCATAACAAATTCTCTTTCGCAATGAAAGATTTTGAAAAAAAAAAAAAAAGAAAAAAGAAATTGAAGGGTTGAACGGATGCATAAGAACGCAGAAAGTTGCCATTGGCAAAAATAGTTCAGCATTAACGTCCATTAACGACCACGTCTATGGTGACTCGGTTTCGAAGCTGCACTTTGCTGTTTTATGGGAGTATCGAGCTTCCAACGGCACCGATAAACGAATCGCGTTGAATTTACGAGCACGGATATTCTTTGCTGTTTCACGGATCATTAGATCCCGCGTTTTCCTCATCTACATCCCCGGAATTTCAACTGGGATATTGGGACGAGGAGTTTGATCAGATAGATCCACTTGATAAATCGACGGCTCATAGTTGAAGTGTGTTCCGTTTGAAAATTCTCCGGGAAAAGTAGTGTGAAAGGAGGTCTGAGACTCGCGGCATTACAGAAACAATGAATACAAAGCTCGGAGATAAACGAGATCGTTGAATTGCACTTGAAAGCAAAGCGCTTGTGAAATTGAAACGTGACGACACGTCGTCGTAACAAAAAATCGCTGAGATACGTTTTCGAAATCAATGAGATACGTCGAATTTAAAGTAAACTTTCAGCGGAAAGTCATACGCGAAATTTGCATAGCTCGTTGCTTCAGAATTTTTAGAATAATAGGAAACTGTTCGTGAAGAAAATTGAAGAAAAATTCTTGTACAACTTGAAACTTGAATGTCTCTTTCTTTAGATTTATCTAAATTCAACTTCGAATCTTTTATATACCGTTGATTTACTATAAGAGCAACGAGAGTACTCTTTACTATAAGAGTACCTAAGAAATTAATTTAAAAGTAAGATATTTTTATGGGAATGGGAGTGATATAAGTATTCTATAAAATTATACTATTTAACAATAATAATGTCACAATTCAAAGTATGGATGTGTTAAAATTCAAAGGCTAGTCATTGCTAGGTAATTAAGTAATTACCTAATAATTTTCTATCAAATATTTCAAACCTATTCCCTGAAGAATTTATTTTCTTTTAGGGAACATAAGTTCTCTTTTTCATTTCTTATTCTTTATTCAAAATAACCTCCATCCAACACTAATTAAGCTGTACTTTCCGAATTGACACTAGATCGAACAATTCTTAAACGTCGAATTTCCGTTTTGATTTAATTGGACGTAAACGAGAACTTCCCGAGAATCATTAACGTGATGGTATCCGTATTTCCAGGGTTCGGATTCGAGTCATTAAGCAATCGGTGCAAAATTGCCGAGTTTCGGTAAGCTTGTGAATTTTCAACAGATTTCGATTTCAAGTATCAGGAGCAATCTGGTGAAACGTGAACTTAACGAACGAAGACAGTCGCGTTCCCTGGTGATCGCAAGCGATCTATTAAATCGCGGATTGTACGCGTTTCCCCGTAATAGGGACGAATGAAATTTTCGTCCAGTCCCGGTGGTTTGCAAATGGTTCGCGAATTAACGATGTAAAACACGTTTAAGCGATCCTACACGTTGAATCGTTGATATTTAGCGAGAAATCTGATCGAACCTCATCGCGAAATTTCATCGCTACTGGAATCGTTGTAACGCGATTCCCTCCAAGAGCTATCCATATTTCATTAAACGAAATGTTCTACACGGTGTTAAATTGGTTCTTGAATTGTAGGATTCAACTGGATTAGTTTTCAGACTGTGAATAAAAATTGTGTAACATGGAAATAGCAAACATTGATAGTAAAATACAAATTTTACTAGGTTAAAATAAGCACGTTAAATGCTTAGAGTACGAAGAGAAAAATTTTAATTAAAAAACGAAGGACTAAAGGACTAAAATTAAAATACACTCAAGTATTTCTGCTATTTTTAAAAATATCAAGAAATATTATTTAGAGAAGATCTATGATATGAAGGGGGATCATAATGTGTTACTAATAAATTTTATTGCAGATGCAAACATTTATAAAAATAAATGTCCGATTTCTAAATCTAAATATTTTATTTAAAAATCTAACATTTCTTCCCCTGGGAGATTCTTATCAGGGTCACATATTTTAACACTTCATTTAGTAGAAGAAATTCACAAGGTAATTACTTGATGAATGAAAATATTACTTGTATTAATTAGCTTAGATTTTATGTTTTAAATTATAATCCAGTCACACAGCTCTTATAAATAGTATTTCTTGGTATGTTAAAAACAAAGTTACACCCTGTATCTTTACGTCGATTTAGAAAGGTAAAATCCAATGTAAAGTAAATCTGTTTTTACGCAGACACCTTACACTTGAAAACGTCTCGTCCACTAAATTAATTGCCATTTAAACGATCGCTTGGAGAGTCAAGCTGATGTATTCCGCGACCTCTCGCTAATCTATGGAAATAAATACAACGCGTTGAACCAGCTTTGGTACACGCGCGAGCGGACGGAAATCACGCATTCGAGGAAAACCAGATACGTCGTCGATCGTATAATGAAAATTGACAGCGAAAATTTGGACGATCACACTCACGAATTATGAAGCATGGCCCGTTACACAATCGTATTTAATAACATGTTTAATTTGATGGAACTGCGATCGAATTTCACGAATTTCTCATCGTTGACATTTAACTCTTTGAAGCACGGAATTTTGAAGCAAAAAAGGGTCATGAAGTAAATTTTATTTTAATTAATAGAGATGTAAAATTATACAAGATGAACGAAAAATAAAGTTTTTTTAAATTAAACTAAATTTAAACCTCAGTGCTTTAATTAATTTTAATTTTTCGAGATGGTATGAAGAATATCCTACCATAGGTATTCTATTACTACCATACTTCAAGGAATTAAATAACAGACAGGGGAAATATCATATTCTAAAGCTTCATTAAAAATAATGTTCATTAATCTATTAATATCCAAAGTTGTATGTAGCATTTTTCTTTTTTATAGTACCATACGTGAATATTTATTTACTTTTGCCATTTGAACATCAATTTTTGCTACTTGATGGCATTTTGTGATCAAAATGCTATAAATGGTAAACGATCCAGCAATCACATTTATCGGAATTAATTAGCCGAGATGAAGCTTTCGATTACAGGATTTTCGAAAGCTTGTGGCATGCGGTGATGAAGTGGAATCTGTGTACATAATTTTGGTCGTCGAATTTTGGGATAAACTTGGAGTTTACCAATTCGTCCCGAATTTTATGTTACCTTCCCGAAGATATAACATTTTAATTTGCATTTTAGGAATCTGGTATCTTATTAAATTTGATAACTAGCCAGAAGGTATTCATTATTCTATAAGTTGGTGAAATCAATACTTGGGTATCATCTTAAAATATATTCTTACGCGAAAGTACGCCCTAATCTTTGTTCATTTTTTACTGAAAGTATTTAAAACTTTTAAAAATTTCAAAGTCAGACATAATGAGATAAAAAATAAATACAAAGTATTAAATATGAGAATGTTTAAACATTTTTCCTTTATAGAAAAAACATTTTTTTTTAAGTCGAAATTGGATTTTAATTAGTACAATTTATATACGATTAATTTAATACATAAATTTCTTCATAATTAAACCAGATCGCTCTTAATAATTTCATATGATATAATATAATAAATGCAGAAAATTCACGAGCATTTTAATATAACATTTTGATATATTCATCGTATTCATCAAATCTGTTTCCCCAAACACGTTCCATCTCGTTTAAAGAATTTTAACGAGCCACGAACAATTTGTAGCCGTTGGAGCTCCTCCAAAATGTGGGACTCCTCCAATGATCTAGAATTCTATTCACTGTTGGCTCATGCCTTCTCTATTCACAAATCTTTCTCTACTTGTTAATCTACATCTACCATGTTGTTGTACATTGAACATCTTTTAAATAATTTTTTGCTTAATTAACACCAGTCATTTCATATCAAACACCTTAATGAAAAACTCGTACTTTGAGTTTTAAGATAATATATCATAAGTGCTATGTTGCGATAATTTATTATATTTCTGTTAAAATGGAAATTATGCTAATAATAACTGAAATAGACTCGAATAGTGCAACACGGTTAACACGAAAATTGATGTGCTCCATTGTTACGTATATCATGTCCGAAAGGGTTAAGTGACCGACGATTCGAGGGGAAATGATGGCTACTAATATCCGCAGTCAGCGGTTCCATCTCGTAATTCTTGCTCGTGAACTTCGGAATACACGTCCTCTTCGTTGCCACTAACAAGTGGTGACTTGGTGCAATTACATACCAGCACCCAACAAATATCCACGATCGGATGGTTATTACCAGAGAACGACATAAAGCTTTGTCATTAATCCTGTGAATATGGGTCACTCATAAGCAAAAGGTAGCAGTAGTCGCCACTGGGATTTAAAAATACCTCAATCACTTTTTTATTCAGTATCTTGTTCCTGTATTTACGAAAAAGTACAGAGGAAGTCAATGATAATTAATTTGTGATAGTTTCATTAAAATTTTGATCACACGGTAATAATGAAAGGGTTAAAAAAAAGGGGGTATTGAACCCTACGAGTCGATATCATTGTATTGCATTGGCACAAATTTTTTTTTATTAATAAATTATATATTTTTCTGTACGAGCAATCTACCGAATGTATCTTTGTATTTCATTACATCTCCTTTAAATTTCGCTTGGTGACAAAAAAAGAAACGTTCTCTGTTATTTTGAGCAACTGGTAAATGCACGTTCTTGGTAGCAGCTAATTTAGCGTACAATGGTCGCTGGTATAAATTCTTCTTTGCTCGCGTGAAACACGCTTAGAACGTGGACAATCTCGACAATGAATATTTAGTGTTCCCCTGCAATCGTGTGCACTGTTGTGTGACTAAACATGAAGCTTGCATTCGTTACGATATCTTGAAAAATAGGGTAATAATTTTTATGGTTACGATGATTTAAGGTGGAACATAAAATACGGTAGCTCTTTGCAAAGACGGTATAAATGTTATGTAAATTAAAACCTTA